CCTGGCCTTGAACACTTCCAGGGATGGGGCACCCACAACTTGTCTGGGCAACCTGTTCCAGTGCTTCATCACTCTCATTGTAAAAAATGTCTTCCTTATATCTAATCAAAATCTCCCTTCTTTCAGTTTAAAGCCATTGCCCCTTGTCCTATCAGTACAGGCCCTTGGAAAAAAAAGTCCCTCTCCAGCTTTCTTGTAGGCCCCTTTCAGGTACTGGAAGACTGCTATAAGATCACCCTGGAGCCTTCTCTTCTCCAGGCTGAACAGCCCCAACTCTCTCAGACTGTCTTCATAGCAGAGGTGCTCCAGCCCTTGGCTCATCTTCATGGCCCTCCTCTGGACTCGCTCCAGCAGCTCCATGTCCTTCTTGTGTTGGGGACTCCAGAGCTGAATGCAGTATTCCAGGTGGGGTCTCACGAGAGCAGAGTAGAGGGGCAGAATCACCTCCCTCGACCTGCTGGCCACGCTTCTTTGGATGCAGCCCAGGATACGGTTGGCTTTCTGGGCTGCAAGCACACATTGCCGGCTCATGTTGAGCTTCTCATCCACTAGCACTCCCAAGTCCTTTTCCTCTGCGCTGCTCTCAATCCATTCTCTGTTCAGCCTGTACTTGTGCTTGAGATTGCCCCGATCCACGTGCAGGACCCTGCACTTGGCCTTGTGCACCTTCATGAGGTTTGCACGGGCCCATGCCAAGCCTGTGAAGATCCCTCTGGATGGCATCCCTTCCCTCCAGCCTGTCAGCCGCACCATGCAGCTTGGTGTTGTTACAAGCATCTGTTTCTTCCAATGTCACTGCCACAAGAAAGGAAAAAATAACCTGTGCTCCAGATTCCCTTACCAACTGTCCCAGGGCTTTGAATTCTCTTTTGATCGCCCCTGGCTTACATGTTGTGGCTTCATTGCCACCCACATGCAAGAGCAGTAATGGGCAATGTGTTAGGGACTTCAGATGATCCGTGTAGGGCCACAATAGAAAATTACTAACTGAACTCAGCTCTGAGAAAGGGAATTGGAAAGATTGTTATTTAATAAATGCAATTACAACTTGGACTCAGCTGTGAGAACATAACCTTGAAAAAGGGAGCTGGGAGGGTTGTTACTGAACAACATGTTGCTACCCCAAAAAACCACTGTTATGCAGCAGAGCACGTACTTGGCAGGCCTCGTTGTACACACTGGCCACGTGTGCAGCAACGCCTAGTCAGTGCCTTTCCATAGACTCTGTTGAGGATGTAAAAGAGGCAGCTCAGAATGGACGAGGGGAAGCTACAGAGCACCCTCTACGAACAGACGGGACTCCCTGAAGGTGCCATGCCTACTTCCCTTCTCCACCATGACCCCACTAATTGACACCCTACTGCTCAGCAGTCTCAGGCATAGTCAGGATGGCAAGAGTCTCAGAAAGGGAAACAATATGCTAGTAACTGCTTTTGCAAGGCTATGACAGAACAATACTGTTGTGTTTTTCCATAAAAATCAAGTGTTGGGTAAGCTTTGTGCATAGGAATCCTTCGAACTGGTCACAGGTAGTAGTCCGAGGGCCATACCAGGCTTGGAAATTTCCTAATGATGTCCCTAACCCAGGCCCCAGGGAGGCAGCAGACTTCCCTAAGAGGAGGGTCTGTTCGGCATATCGGACTCTCTGTTCCCTTCAGATGGGAGTCACCTACCACTGTAACCCATCTCTTCTTCCTTGTGGAGGTGGTCGTGATACGGGGAGTGGGCCTTTCTGTCACTGGCAACACCTCCAGTGTAGATGAACCGTCATCCACATTATCCGTCGACAGACCTTCCGCATCCACAGCCCACACCTGTTGTACAGAGGTACTTGGGAAGGCGAGGTGGGCAAGGGGGGAGTTTGTCTGCCGCCCGCTCTGGTCACATCGTTCCTGGTCGCTAGTGCTGCCCAGGCTGCTTTTTGTAGATGTGGGGACGGCTGCTGTTGCTCTGGCAATGCCCAGGCCATGTCAGCATCTCCTGTGACAGAAGAGTGCTTTGAAAGACAGAGAAGCCCAGCTGGAAACGGACAACCAGACAGAGCAGCCAGTGTGTTCCATACGTACGTACAGACAGCAGCCTCAAAGCTGTTAAACAAGCACTCGGGTGGATGGATAGCTCGCACGCATTTCTGAGAGGTAATCCAGTATTGCAAACAACTGTATTGTGTAGGTTGCTTCAAAACCAGTTGCAGTAATTAAAATTAAAGCAGACAATATTGAATCTACCAAAGCTTTTCCATGTCTGAAGAGCCAGTCCTTCATGCAAAGCAATCTTTCACCCCAGATCACCACATTCTTTGACACTGACTTGTTTCACAGTTGGGATTTACTCATCTAGAACACTATCTGTGCTTCTCTTCAGTTTCTTTATAAACTCACATTACGTTTTTTAATGAGGAGGATATTTCTTAACTACTACTTAACTTTAGCTATCGGAGGGTAAAAGGAAACTGTGAACCTAGACATCTTTGTTCTTTTAGCTTTGCTTTTAACAGTCACAACTCTTAATGTCATACATTAAGTAAACCAACAGCTCTTGCAAAATGCTTAGCTCTGCAATTTAAATTCTAAAAATCTGGCAAGAAAACATTCTCTAGAGTCCCTTGGAGTCAAGCCCTGCTTCCCATTACTCTGTCACATACCAAGATCTTTCTTCGTTTTTAAAATGCTCAATCCTGGCTTATTACTTCTCCTTGTGAAGTCAAGAGTACAAAGGCCACTGCCTTTGACACTAAAGCTAAGGCTCAGTTCTTTCGAAAACTCCATCGCAGATGAACTTGGTTATGGGATAAGAGAAATACATAGTTGCTTTTAAGTCAGACGCTTCTTGTGAATAAAGAAGGCTGACCTGTACAGAAGGCAGGCCAAAGAACTGGACGAGAACTGAAATTTTATTTTAGGTAGCATTCTACTGAAGTTCTCTATAATGTGTATGATAGTGTCCTTTGTCATGCATGTTGTGTCTTAAAAAGTACTTCAAGCACTAGGAGATATCTCAAATCTCACAAATAGCTTTTTAATTTTACTTTCCTATACACCTGAACCACTCTAAAGAAACAGCCAGGATGAACCCATGTTTATCTCCTACAGATATCAGCTGGAAAACATGCACGCCAAAATTGTGCACACCATAATTTCTGCAGTATAGCCACATTATGGTGTGACTGGCAAGGGAAGTCACATCAATCCACCAGAGTGTCCTCCAGGAGAAACAGCCATGAAAGTGGTTCCTCTTCCTAACATT